GCCCCCTCCCGGCCGGGGCCTCCCAGTGCGTCCACCTTAGACCATGCGGGCGATAACGATTACAGATTTCAGAAGTGAGCTCACAGAGGGCGGAAACAAGTTTTTTATTTCTGCACAAACCCCTACCGCGGTCAGTCAGTAAGTCAATTTTGCCCCCAAACATACACTTTCTCAAAAAAATTTATCTCATCAAAAAAGATCCTAAAATTTGAAATATTACTATTAGAATTCATATTATGTGAAATCAATGACAACTATTTAAAATATAACTATATCTCAATTGACTTAGGTTTTCATGTATGAGATGCTTAAAAAATGGCTAAAATACAATAAACATTTATTTCTTTATGCACACAAAGCCCAAGGGAGTTACTTGTATGGTGGCTCCAACATTATCAGATATTCAAGTCCATCCAGGTCTCTGTTCTGCCTTGTGGAGGTCACATGAATATAACCTGGTCCTATATGGCTGCTAGATGCCAGCCATCACATCCATGTTCTAAGCATAGTATGAACATAGGGAAGAGGAACAAGTTATACCCCTGCATTCTAAGAAGAGTTCTTACAAGCCACACACAATACTTCACTAGCTACAAAGGAGCCTCTAGAATTATAGCTGGGAATTTGTGTGTACAGCTAAAAATTGGCGCTCTCTTAATTTGAGTGAGTTGGGCAGAATAACTACTGGTAAGGAACTAGCTGTTTCTGCCAGGCTCTGGGAGGGATATTACCTCATCAATCATAAACCTTGATGTGAATAAGTCTGTCAGCTCCTTCCTGAAAGTGATATTTCATAGGTAAGGGAGACCAAATAGTATGTGAGGGAACTGGGCAGGGGAGAGTAGAAGCTGGGGAACTGGGTGGACAGAGGATATTAAGGACAAGCCGCCTCTATTTTTCAATTTTGCTACAAGTAAGCATTAGCCCCAACTCCATGTTTCTTATTTATTCGTTTGTCCATTTAAAGAATTTGGATTCTATACTAAACAGGGAAGGGCTCATGTATCACATATTTATTTTGTTCCTAAGGACTAAATTTTTTTTAAAAGAGATTTAATCACTTTGGTTGTGTTCTTTTCCCTCTTTTATAGAGGAGCACCTTTTAATGCCAAGATGGGTTTTGCATTTCCAAGGTTATTGTATTTATCCTTGTGAGTTTGCCTCTTCCTTCTGATGAACCCCCCAAATGGCATCATATTGATAAAACATGGCCTTCCAAAACAGTCTTTAAATCTCCTATGTGCAAATATGGTCAGGCCAATTGGAGTGAACTTTTCTCCATGGACACTCGGGGTGAAACTAGCTGGCTTTGCAAAGTGGTTCTCTTTATAAACTAGCAACATTTATTTACAATATGTCTGGTGACAGGCCAATTTCTTAAGTAATATAAGTATATGCATTTAGTACTTCCAGCGTTTTTGCTTTTAGAACAAACTTATAGAGCAGAGCAGCTGACCAGGCCGTGCCTTGTCAGAATCATTGGCAGCAACTTCATAAAGTTTTCAGTTTCCAAGAATTTCACTCGCTTCCAGCTACCTCATCTTTAATAATTTGTTGCCTTTAATGACAATAAAGCAAATTTCAGGAGGCCATTGGAGGGAGAAAGAGATGATGCAAAAAGAAGAGGCGAAGATTCGGTTGGGAATTTTATGATGCTGATGATTGCTTCAGAGAAAATATTTGCAGTGCACACACACCTGCAAAAATAAAGATCCGTTCCTCATCAAAGTGCTGAGGTGGCTGCAAACTGAATACCATCTGGCCCTTTCAGGCGGCCTTCGCTTTCCCCCTGCACCCGTTATAGCACCCAGTTCCCCCTCATCCATCCCTGCCCTGGTCAGTAGGTCATTCCTCTGAAGGATGTTGATGAGATCAGGAAAAGGATGTGCATTGCCCACCTTGCAGGGGAAAGCTTCATCCAGAAAACCACTTACAGCAAAATAAATGATCCCTGTCCCTTAAGGGAAAAACCTGTCTTCCGTAGCCCCAGTCAGTCTCTCCTGCTTTTTCCATCACAGGTTTCTCTGCCTCCATGCCTTCTTCCCCTCCTCCCTTTTGCCTCTTCCTTCTCCTAAAGGCTGGTGGGGGCTTAGGTACCTTTCCACGGGGCCTATGAATCATCCATTAAAACAGGGACAGAAATGAAAGAGAAGAAGCTTTGCCGGCAGAATTTTAGGCAGAATGAATAATGGAAAGAGCTGAGTGCTGGAGCCAAGGAGAGCTGGAATGGATTCCCTGCTCTGTCATTTAGAAACTGACTGTCTTGGGCAAGTTATTCATCTTATCTGAGTCACAGTTTCTTTGTTTATAAAATTGAAATAATAATACCTGCCTCATAATCATTTGAGAATTAAATTATATATATAAAAATTAGCACAATATTTGATGCATAGTTGGCATTCAATAAATATTAGTTCTCTTATCATAAGGGGAATGGAGGAGTTGTTGGGGCAAGTCATGGGGCTTTCTCAGTATTCTAATCTGCTGGGAACTGTGAGAGAGAGAGAGAAAGAGAGAGAGAGAGAGAACTAATTTGTTGCTGCACTGATTTGTTGCTGCACTAATTTGTTGCTTCACTTATTTATGCATTCCTTGGTTGACTCTTGTATGTGCCCTGACTGGGGATTGAACCTGCAACCTTGGCTTATCGGGACAATGATTTAACCAACTCAGCTACCCAGCCAGAGCCTTCTTAATTACATTTGGTGTATGAAAATTTCTGGTACCAAGGGAAATGGGAAACTAAAAGAGGAGATCTCGGTGAACAAGAAACAAAAGCAGCCCTAACTGGTTTGGCTCAGTGGATAGAGTGTCGGCCTGTGGACTCAAGGGTCCCAGGTTCGATTCCAGTCAGGGGCATGTACCTTGGTTGCGGGCACAGCCCCAGTGGGGAGTGTGCAAGAGGTGGCTGATTGATGTTTCTCCCTCATGATGTTTCTAGCTCTCTATCCCTCTCCCTTCCTCTCTGTAAAAATTCAATATATATTTTTTTTAAAAAGAAACAAAAGCAACAAAGCAGAGTGGTTTGGGGTATTATTTCACCCATTTGCTGATAAAACAATTTTACCGGATTCCTTATGTTCTCTAGATTCACATTCTCCTTTGGATGGTGCTGATCAAGTGACACATTTTGTTTCTCTAAGCTTCACTTTCTGTGCTGATCACTCGGGGGCCAACACATTCTTTTGTCACATGTGTTAATATCACTGTCTTAGGATCTGTCAAAATGAAAAATAGTTCCCTTTTCTGTGCCAGACCTAATTTGATAGTTTTAACTGCAAATATTCAGACCTTTCTTGGCACCAAAATACAGGAACTGGGCACAGATCTCACAGCTCCTTTGGTCCTTTATCGAGCACAAAGCCCAAGCAGAATTCTGATATTGATAGCACTGCCATCATCGCTCTGCCTGAACTCACGTCTGCCATGGTCAGTGTCTGTGATTGGGAACGGATGCTACAAAGCTTCTAATTCAGGTCCAAGTCATCATTCAGGAAGTGAAGATGATCCTAAGACTTCTGGAAAATAATCTTTCTAGGGGCTAGATTGTAAACCCTGGGTAATACTGTCTCATCCCTTTCCCCAAGGTAACAACTCCTAGGCTCTGCCCATAATGAGATATCAGCTCTGTCTTCTGCTTTGCTGGGGGAAAACCATTGGCTGTGTTTTTATAAAAAATATTTGGAAGATAGATAGATAGATAGATAGATAGAAAATAGGGTAGCGAGCATAATGGCTATAAAAGGCCATCACACAGTCTGAGCTTCTTCACCCCAGGGAAGATCTGTACATATCCCACCAGGAAGAGGACAGGCCTGAGTTGCATTCTTGGTTTGACAGTAATGGCCACAATTTATTCATACTCCATTCCCATAATAAAGAATAGTGGATACCTGGTAGATTATAAGACATTTACACTCCCTCTGAAAGTTTTCATAATATTTCATAATATTCTCATGATATTCACTGTTGAAAGACATTTACACTCCCTCTGAAAGTTTTCATATTTCATAATATTCTCATGATATTCACTGTTAAATTACTTCTTCTGTAGGAGTTTTTAACTTCAGACCCTCAGACACTCAGGAAGTCTGGCACACTACTATATTTCAAATAAAATATATGTAACAAGTAAAAATATCTGATAAATTATTTCCATAAAATTAGTTTTACTTGTCATCGTAAGAATATTATTTTTTGCTTTTAAAATCATTATTCTCAAAAGAAGTCCATAGGCTTCAAGCCCTGTCAAAGGGATCCTGGCACTGAAACGTCCAGACTCCCTCAGGCAGTGGGAGGAGGTCTCCTCAGGTGACCTGCGGTTTCATTATCTGATGTTCACAGTTCTTGGTTCTCTCTCTTAAAACCTCAGCACGGTGCCTCTGATGGTTTGTGTCAGGTGTGTCTATGAGGTGCAGTAAATGTCGATCTTTCTTTGAGGAGAATACTAGTTTCAATACAGTGACAGTGCAATTCACAATGGAAATTTTCTTAAACTTTATTTGAACACTGAAAAACCCTATGTGCTAGTTGCTGTGCTAGTCAGAGAGAGGATACTAAGCAAAACAAAAAAAGTCTGCTCTTTATGAACCTTTAATCTAACAGGTGTGTGTGTGTGTGTGTGTGTGTGTGTGTGATAACTCTGGATTTGTTTCTCCCACAGATCTCGGAGGCACGGGGCGTTCAATGGGGACTTTGCAGTGCTCCAGGCTGCTGCCCCTCAATGAAGCTCTGAGTCCTGGCCTGAAGGGCTAAGGTACTGGCTACAATGTGGAACCCCAGGAGAGCCAACCTGACTACCCTTTGCTCTAAGAAGAAGCCCCAAATGAAACTGGGCTGAAATCAGAGCAAGGACTAGAGAAAGATTTATTCGTTAATGGAAAGAGGAAAGGAGAAAAGGGTTTCCAAAAACTTGCAACAAACTTTCCATCGCTCTAAAGAACCTACCTTCCTTATCAACCACGCTGTTCTATCTCGTGACTCCTCTTCTAGCCTTTTGCCAGAAACAAAGCAAGTCAATCTTGCTGAAAACATAAAGACAAACCCTCAGAAAACTAGGCCTGGAACTGTGATCCTCTCAAAACGGTCCGGTAAGAGAATTATGTCGGAAAGCCAGCCTAGCCCACCCGTGATCCCGTCCCGCAGGCCCGGATTCCGCATATGCTATATCTGTGGCCGAGAATTTGGGTCCCAATCACTCGCCATTCATGAGCCCCAGTGCTTGGAGAAGTGGCGAATTGAAAACAGCAAGTTGCCCAAGCACCAGCGGAGGCCAGAGCCCTCCAAACCACAGCCCCTGGGCGGCGGCAGTGGGTCCGACATTCTTCAGGCAACGAACGAGGCAGCGTTCCAGAGTTCTCAGGCCCAGCTGCTGCCCTGCGAGGCCTGTGGCCGCACGTTCTTGCCAGACCGTCTTCTTGTTCACCAGAGAAGCTGCAAGCCCAAGGGTGGTGGGCCCAGAGAACCAAACAGCAACAATTCTAATGACCTGCCTGGTCTTAGGAAAACTTCTGGTGGCGTCCCAGCTCGACCAAGGACTCTCATCTGCTACATTTGTGGCAGGGAATTTGGCTCCCTCTCCCTTCCTATTCATGAGCCCAAATGCCTGGAAAAGTGGAAAACAGAAAATGACCGGCTCCCCAGGGAGCTCCGCCGGCCATTCCCGCAGAAGAAGCCTCAGCCCCTGGTACCTGGCGAGGGGCCAAGTGAAGCTCAGCTTGAGCCCTGCCCAAACTGTAGCCGGACCTTTGCTCCCCAGCGCCTTCTGGTGCATCTGCGAAGCTGTAAGGCTCAACCGAGTGGGCCACGTGTTCAGAATTTGACTTTAGAGAGTAAAGGTGGCCTGAAAGAGTCCACTAATTTCAAGCAGCAAAGGCACGTGGCCGCGCTCCCTGTGACTGATAAGGTAATTCCTGCCACATGAGATGCCCTGGTTGGACCCGGCAGGGGAATGAGAGAAAACAGACCCTGAATCACCTGCCTCAACCCCTAGAGTGGTTTCTTTCGATGGTTATTTCTGACTCATTGCAGCCTGTCCAAGTTGACCCCTGTCCCACTCCAGGGGCTGTATCTCTGATGGCAGTGTAGACATAAGAACATCCTTGCCTGGCAGATTCATAGTTCTCTTCCATTTTGTTGAGAGAGAGAGAGAGAGAGAGAGAGAGAGAGAGAGAGAGAGAGAGAGAGAGAGAGAAAGGACAGAGAGGGAACTTCTTTTTTCCCTGACCTCTCCGACCAATAATCCTTGGGAGAGACTGTTATTTGAAAATGAGTCATTAATGCTATGTCTACATTACAGAGCTATACTCCCCGTTCCAAAAGCCAATATTTATTACCAGTTTATTTTAGTCATCTACCTTAGGAATTCATTTTTGGCAACACTGGGTTATGCTGAGTTTATCTTACTAAAATAGAATCTGTGTCAAAAACCCCAAATGACTTTAGCAATAATTAAACACTGGCGCACTCGCAGGAATAGACGTGCTCTGTGAATACAGCATGTTTTCTGTTAACGCTTACATGATTATAGTATGTGGGGAATTAACCCAGTGTAGACACCCTAGCAGGGAGGCGTGTGTTCCTGGTTCTGGGACGTGCTGAATTCCCGCTGCTGCTCTGTACCTTTTATCTGGGTTGGACACCACGCTCTGACTCACCACTTGGGCAATTGTAAATAAGCGTGACCCAGGGGTTCCCTGTCATAGGGTGCAGTGTTGTTGGGTTTTCACCTGAAGTTTCTTCATCAGCCAGGATTGGGGAAGGATGCTCATGAGGGTGGCTACCTGCAAAACAGGGCACGGTCATGGACTCTGTCCTACATTTAAGCCAGGGGGATGGATGTGCTGTCCTTGTCACAGCTTACAGATGTCAAATCATGAAAAATAGAATGTGGTCAGTCTCCTCCTTCTCCTTCTCCTCCTCCTCCTCCTTCTCCTTCGATTTGCTACTTGAAACACCCACCTGCATGATTCTTTAAATGGACTGTTTTCAAAAAATAAAAAATAAATAAATGGACTGTTTTGGGGAAACTAAGGTTACTCAAGGTATTGCAAAGTATTAAACCAAAAGGGGGTGGGGGATCTTTTATGTTCAATTCAGTGTTTCTTCCTTACTTTTTCATTGCATTATTTGGGCAAATATCTAGTACTTTTCTCTAACTACCATGTTTAAAATGACATTATACGGACTTGCTGGCTTAGAAGATTTCAAGATAATGATCCTAAAGCTGAAGAGTCACACTGACAGAAGCTGGGTAAGTGTTCCGATGAACATTGAAGAAAGGATGGCTGGTTTCTTTGCCGGATGAAAACCCAAACTCTTAAGTGTGGCAAGGACTGCAGGCTGGTCTCATAAACATGATCTGTTTTTCCCATCTTCTGGCTGTTGTTTTTCTTTCAAAACATGTGAGGTCTGGATTCAAAGAGCAAAAGGCTTGTGTCTCGGGGTCACAATCAGCAACTCTGTTCCTGTGTGACTTTCAGCCCTGTTTCCTGATTGTATGCATTCACTTCAAATGTTCTCATTACAGATCTGGAGATAGGGAAGCGTGTGGTCAGGATTCTTGGGCTTGTTGTTATAACACATACTTTGTGCTCCCAAGAGTGGAGCCAACAGGCTGAGCACAGCATGTTCTCACTCAGTCACGACTGCTAAAAGAGGCTGGCCTGGAACCACGGCTTCATAAGAGGACACCTCCTGACTCACGCAGTCGTCTGGAGGAGAGAATGTCAGAAGGAGAGGCCAGCGAGGGCCCGATGACTCGTGCGTTTAGCATAGGGGGGAGTTCATCAGAGCAAGGGCATCTAGAGGGCATGGCTGTGTGAGAGGACAGCCAGCTCTGCTCCCAGACGTGAAAAGGCATGTGTCAGTGAGAAACTGGCGCCCACAGCTGTCAGATGTGTGCTGGCCTGTTTGGGGACCGTGCAGGCTTCAGTGGAGGTCAGAGAAAGGTCATCTAACATAGGGGCCCTTTAGTTGCCAGATTTAAAGCAAGCTTGGTTTAATGACAATGGAGAAATCTCCTTAGGCCTTAGTTGGCATTTAATTTGCATATAGCCCTGATTAGCCAATGAAAAGGGTAGTGTCGTACGCCAATTACCATTTTGCTCTTTTATTAGTGTAGATTTTTATTTATTTCAGAAAGGAAGAGAGATGGAGAAAGAGATAGAAACATCAATGATGAGAGAGAGAATCATTGGTCAGCTGCCTCCTGCATGCCCCTCACCAGGATCAAACCCACAACCTGGGCATGTGCCCTGACCTGGAATCAAACCGTGACCTCCTGTTTCATAGGTTGATGCTCAACGACACCGGCCAGGCCACATGCATTCTTTTTAGAGTTCAAATGTTTCCTTCATTTCTTCTCTTGTCAATTATAACAATTTCCCTCTAGAATCCTTGATCTGACTTCTGATTAGAATCAATGATCTTGCCTGATGTTCTCAGGGGGCTCAGTCTTGCAGTGAATTCAAGTGAGGAAAATCTTTTCAGAACCATGATCACAGTGCTTGGAAAACAATTCACTCCAGTTGGGCAACATGACTGTTTCGCTGGCAGAGTGAATTACCTTCTGCTCAGAATGTTCTTCCAACATAGATTGGCTCAGTTCTCTTAGGACACAGATGCTTCTGTCACCTTTCAATCATTTCTAAACATAAACAAACGCCACTAAGGCCAGTTCTCTTCCAAGACCTCAATGGACACTTTGCAATCTGTTCTGTTTATTGGTTAGATAATGCTTGGGGTTATTTCCTGAGGATTATGCTGGTCACATGTGAAACCCCTTTTCTAAAAATCCTTTATTACATTATAAAGTAGGCATTAGTTTTCTGTAGGGCAACTATCTTTTCTATAAATGATCATCTCTCTCAATGTAGTTTTATGCTCAGGGTTGAGCTAAAAGTCCCTTCAGATACCTCTTTAGTGTCTGGTGCTGCCATCTGGTGTTTTCTTTTAAAGCAATGTCTTCTACACTATCAAAAATATTATTCCTTTTCTCTTTGTGTTACCTCCAAATATATTTGAGAAGGTACCCTTATAATACAAACTTTCGTTATTTAGGGCTGCAGTTACATATTTGGTTTAATGTTATAAATTCTGTTTCATGGCTTACTGTCTCATCCTCTAAAGGCAAAAATCTCAATAGGAAGGTCACCATCATGAAGACTCAGAAGGGCAGGATGGATGGTTTTGTGTATGCATATGTGCTATTAGGTAAGAAGTATTTGTTTATTGGGAGACATGGAAGAAAGGAAACTTTTCTGAGTACTTTCATGATCAACACTTTATATACATGATCTCACTTTAATCTTTATACTGTTACTAAAAGACAGATAATATTTTTCTCACTTTCTAGGTGAAGCAACTGAGGTTAAGCAACTTGACCAAAGTCACACAGTGGGTGAGGTAGTGGGTGTCGGAGCCAGATTCAAAGGCTCATTACCTTTGCATGTCACTAAGAGAGAGGATTATGTGTGATACAAAAAGGGCATGGTTATCTTGCCAGGCTGTGAGTGTTAAGTAGGACAAAGAGGACAGAAGTTTGTTCAGTCAACAAATACTTACTGTTTGACATTGGCTAAATACTTAATATAGAGTCATAAACAAGATAGACACAGTTCTTGATCTCATGGAGACGTGTGGAGGAAATATGAAATATAAAATTTCAAATTGTGATATGACAGTGTTTCTTGGTGGGAGTGGATATTCTTGGGTCAAGAAACCTCTGGGAGGAAGTGACATTTCAGCTGAGATACAAAAGGTGTGGATGCATTAGCCAAGACATTCTGGCCAAAGGAAACATGTGTGAAGACCTTGAGGTAAGAAAGATCTTTAAATGGAACTAAGAAGTCCACAGGTGGCCAGAGCCTAATGGAACACGAGATAAAGCTGTAGAAACAGCATAGTTCTCTCCAGCTGCTATGTGGACATAGTGGCATCAGTTTGGATACTCCAGGAGTCCAGGTGAGGGCTGATGATGCTTAGCCTAGGGTATTGGTAGCAGAGATGGAGACAAGGTATAATGAGAATGCGTTAGGACATGGTATAGTTAGGACGTGGAAGGGTGAGGAAGGGGGTCAAAGATGACTCCCACATGGCTAATTTGAGCAACTGTACTAGTTGTGCCATTTTCTAAGGTGAGAAAGACTTGAGAAAGGGTAGCTCTTGAGGGTTAAGATAAATAGTTCTATTCTGGGCATATCACATTCATAATGCTTATGAGATATCTAAGTGGGTAAGTCGAGCTGAATATATGTCTGCGTCTCAAAAGAAAAGACTAGGCTAGGGTATAGATTTGTGTAGTATTAACGTATATTTAAACTCATCAGAATGAGGATAGGGTTATGAAAATAGACCCAGGGCTGAGCTCAGTGGCATTACCATATTTGGGGATCTGAAGGAAAGGAGCTGGAGGATGAGTGCCTGGAGACACTAGAGCAAAGTCTAGAGCAGCCGTGGGCAAACTACGGCCCGGCCGAAATGAATAAAACTATTGAAAAAAAAAGACCGTACCCTTTTATGTAATGATGTTTACTTGAATTTATATTAGTTCACACAAACACTCCATCCATGCTTTTGTTCTGGCCCTCCGGTCCAGTTTAAGAACCCATTGTGGCCCTCGGGTCAAAAAGTTTGCCCACCCCTGGGCTAGAACGTGGTGCCGCAGAAACTGAGATCAGAGATGGTTGAACAGGATGAGGGCCAGAATAGCTCTCTGATTTGGCAATGCGGATTTCGTCCGAGTGCAGTGGTGGGGGTTGCCGAGTGCATGGTTGATAAAGACAGGATGTGGTTTTAGAAGTTTGGCTTTGGTGATTAGGAGAGAAATAATGGGTAGGCTAGAAATAGATAATGGGGTTAAGAGAAGTTACTTTAAAAGATAGGAGCTTCCAGACTATATTTGAA